TGGTCATAATAGACAGAACTAACTACCTTCAAAAGGCGCAAAACTTACTGGAGGATCGCCAGTTTTATGTTCCTTGTGAAACCAATCCCACCAAAAGCTCGACACGCGAAATCAACTCCAACCTGTTGGCAATAGAGAACTCGGGTGCAATAACGCCGTCTGACCGACGCACGGCGAAGGCACAACAAAAGGCCTTAGCTCGATTCTATGGTCTCCCCAAAGTGTGCAAGGAGGACGCTCCTCTGCGACCCATCGTGTCCCTGAAAGGCACTTCAACATACGGACTGGCAAAGTGGCTGTTTATGCGTCTCCAATTTCTGACTGCTGATTCGGAGACCACGGTCCGCCCATCAAGACAATTTGTCGAGAAAATTAAAGGGGTAAGTCTCCTGCCAATAGATATCATGGATTCTAACCCTCAGGATCTGGCAGTCGAGACCGTCGAACTACTCCTATGAAGCAAATACGATGAGACGGAAAATCGTCTTGGACGTGCCCAAATCCTACAGCTCCTGAAGTTCAGCCCCACAACGTACTTCACGTTTGACGGCACAATCTACGAGCAGGTGAAGGGGATACGTTAGGTTCACCGATTTCGAGACTCATAGCCGAGGCGCCCGTCCAGCTGATGGAGTCGCTGGTCTTCCAACAACACAGACCGAAATTCTGGGCGTGGTATTTTGATGACAACTTCGGCGTCATCGAACAGGATCAGGTGCTCACGTTCAAGGAACTTCTCGACAGCGTCTTCCCGGACATCCAATTTAAGATGGAGGAAAAAGAGAACAACCAGCTGGCCTTCCTTGATGTCCTCGTCCGTCGAAAAGATTGCGGTGACCCAAAGACTATAGTATTCAGGAAAGCGAAAAACACGATGCAAGTACTGAATTACAACAGCAACCATCCAACCATCCATAAACGCAGTTGCGTAATGACACTCTATCAGCTTGTTGAGATGCATTGCAGCGAACCAGAAGATAAAGTTGCCGAGGTACAATACCTTCGACGGGTACTCAGAGAAAATGACTGCCCGCGCAATTTCGTCAACCGGTGCTTACTTAAACGAGTTGGCCAGCAAATTCGCACCAACCCCAACATTTGACGAGTGATCCCGTACGTCAAAAACCTATCGGAGGCTATCGGCTGGCTTCTCGCACCACTTGAAGTTGGAGTCGCATACAGGCCGGAAGCAATCGTAAGGCGTCAGATAATGAAACAGAAAGACCACCTGCCACGGCAAGAAGCATCTGGGGTCGTCTACAGGATCTGGTGCAGTTGTGGGCAATGCAACTATGTCGGCAGGCTTCTTAAGAGGCGAATTGCTGAACACGCGGCAGTAGTGCGGCGAAATGAGGCCAATTCTCAAGTTGCGGCTTACTCGACGATACCAGGCCACAGATCCAAATTTTATGAGGCCGAAATTCCTGCAAAGGTAACAATCGGATGAGCCGAGAATTACTTAAGTGATGGTTCACGGTCCGCTAATCCATCAAGAAGTGCAACAATTTGCCCAATGCATATTTAGTGCTGAGACTCAGTTTGGCTAAAGCACTTCGCCGCTTGGGGAACGGACAGGCCACCGCCTCATCTATTAAGAGTACCGGAGGCCCAGATCGCCGGGCAATCATAACGCCCAAGTCCACCATGCGTGATGAAATGTCAGCAGGTGAGTGCCCGAATGCCGTTCAAAAGACCATCAGCACTCAAGAAGGCATTAAGGTTAAATATCGTCGTATGTTTGCAATAATTAGTGTTTTTTATAAATACTGCACATTCCCGTGCATGTGCTTCCCTTTCTGCTATTGCTCTCTGACTATGTCTCTGATGACGAATCCACGACGAATATCGAAACCTCAGGCGAGTAAAAGTATTTTCCCAGCGATCGAGTCGTCTTCTTTTCAATTACTTCCTGTGACTCGCATTTTCGCTTGTATTGACACTGCCTCTGTCGTACAAATAGTTCCTCTGACTTAGAAATCGGATTTTTCATCAATGCTTTATATGTGATTTGATACGTTTGGCAAACGACTCTCCCCTGGTTACTGTTAACCTCATGATTCATGATATTTTTCAATCCCCGATTTAGCCAGGCAGCACAGCGTTCTTGCATAGACACCCCCAAACCTCCTCTGACATTTCTTGTTCACCTTTCGCTGCTCTATTGGTAAGTCACTTTCCGTGCTGGCCAAAAGATTAGTAATATAAAATCACACCTTTTTGACTGTGTTTCCGTCCGAATGTTTTGTCTATAGAGTGGATTTGCGACAGCTTCGTTCACTCCGAATTGAATTGCGGGTCCATGTTACGCAAGCGGATGAGGTGTTGCATTGGCACCATAGCTGAGGCTCTTATATCATCAAAAAAAATACCTTCAGTTGATCCAATTGTGAGAAATGCACGATCTCGGTGGGAGTCGAAATGACGCAACAGCGAAGGCTTTTGCGCAGCCAATGCTCTAATATTGAGTTCCGAGGCTCACACTGTGCCGTGAATTTAATCACACGTATGTACGGCATCTTTATGAACCCATCAACCACAGGAAAACAAGAGATAAATAAAGGAGGGTGTCCTTCTAAGCACATGACTCCAGGCACACCAAGTCGGTTCCGTACATTTTTCCTTGGCATCCGTCCTAGAATTGCGGGTTTCTTCACTGGCATCAAAGAAGAACCTATGAACACGCGATTTGGTTGGCTAGTCGTATGACCACGAGCGCCGTCATCGCAAATATCCGCCGACTTAGAGATCGGCTTTACTTTCTAAATCAGCAAAAGTTAAGCAAAATTTTTGGTTGATGTCTCTTCTGTGCCTTCAGTTTACCTGGGCAGTCAAGAGTTCAGTAGAGAGGGAAAATTCTGTTCCTCGGTTTAGGCAGTGTTCTCGCAATAATTAAGGTGGACACCCAGATACCCGAAAACCTCCCCTGACGTTTATTTTTTACCGCTTTATTTTCCAAATTTCGTTGCTCAATATGGAAGTTTAATCATATTCTGGCCAGACGATGTTTATACAAATACACGGATTGGTTGACGTTGATTTCAAAAGCAGTATTTTCTTTTTTCATTGACTTTCTTATGTTTTTGCTTCAATAACCTACCATCTGGCATGAAATGCGATTCGGTGTTGGGTAAATGTCCTGATTCTGTGTTTGAATGAAAACAATGTTGCTTAAGGCCTATGTTAGAGGGCATTCTATCATCAGAAGAAAATACGTTTGATAAAGACATTTATGTATTTATCTTTCCAAAACCATCAACCGCTGTAAAAACCACAAAAACCTATGGAAAACAATAGATCAGCGAAGAAGGGTGTTCTTCTAAGCACATGTCTCCAGACATTCTTCTTCAGTTTCGAAATTATTTTCATTTCCGCGGCATCCGCCGTATACGAAGGATTTGCAGGCTCCATCCTTGGCATCAAAGTAGAACCGGGGTACGAATGCTCCGCACCATCCAAAATCGACGGGCAGGTTGCAGATCTCGTTTGCTCCTACAGCATTAGAATATAAGATATATAAACGGCATGTTTTGTTTAACGAAGATAATTACCCTGGGAGTAGACAAACAGAGTAAACACTGTCAACAGTAGGTCTATTGCTAATTCTGAGCAGTGAGGTTGGCGATGGAGAGGATTCGAAAACCAATTACGCTCCACAATACGCCTTGATGCCAACTATTGTAAATACAGTAGCCAAAAATGGCTGAGCCGATTACGGGGCACATTTACGGCTGCTGTATCAATCTCGAATTACGATATGTACTCCTTTTTCCACACATGGGCATATTTGTGCATGCGCATTATATTTTTGGCAAAGGTAGTTTAAGTACTGCACCTCACATACCCCTAATCCCAGCAACTTGTCCTACGGAAGCGGTGATTAGAGGCGTTTTTGGAGAGGGAAAATAGGATAGAGCGGGAAAGCGATTTGTAGAGGTAAGTGCAAAGTAAAAAAATCTAGAAGACGAAGAAGCGATCACTGGAACAAGAGTTTTTTGTCCTGACTTTTCGGATTCCGTCAGAAATTCTTAGCTATAGGTATTCTTAAACAAGTCTGAGACATGCGCAGACATGCCCTTATCTGCGCATGTCTAAAAATATAGTTGAATTCGTTTCCCGCGTCCACTAGGAATAAGTTGTTCTGCATGTAAACTGAAGGTTAGGCGATGCTTTTTGCCGCGTACGCTACTAATCTAACCCAAGAAATGCAATATAAACCTCATTTAAGTTGAAGTAGACGACTTCCTAACCGCCATTTTTATGTTAAGGAAGTTTCATTAAACCTGCATTTTTGTGATCGGGTTTTCCCACAAAACGTTAAACAATAGAACATATTAGGAAAATCTACAGATATAAATCAACAACATTTCTAAAGTCAACAAAATGGAAATGCATGGAGTAGCTATTAAAGTATATTCCACTGCCTATCCTAATTTTCCATCCACAAGACTCCTATAACCGCCGTTTCCGTAGGACAAAATGCTGGGACTAGAGGTAAATGAGGTGCACTACATTAACTACTGTTGCCATTTTTTTTACTATGTGGATATCCCACGAAATTCTTTTGTGTATTTTGTACTCTCAGATACACAAATGTTGACCGGGCTAGAAGTGCATTTATAATTCTTTCACTACCAAGAGTTATAAAACAGGAAAAGAATAGCGCAAGTCCCAAAGAACACATTAAGTATCCTGATACTGCTTCAATGAACAATACAAGTTTCTTATCAGGTCGTCTATGCACTCACAGGAAAAGAGTATGAGAATACTTACCACCATAAGCTCTCTTTGTTTCTTCGATAGGAGAAAGTTCTGCAAGGGTAAAATTTTATTTTACTATAAGTCAGTTCAAACTTGTTTTGCTAAACGATTAGTGGTTGCCTTCCATTTTAAGTCGGCTTTAAGCAATATTTATTGGCTGATTGATTTTCATCAAGGGGTTAAAACATCACTTTTCACAGAATAATGTATCGGTTGAAATTGCAAGAAATTCTCTTATGCAGCGAAGCGTATAATGCTATTTATACCTGGTATTTACGTTTAATTAACGGGATACATATTCAAATACTTACCGACGAAACGTTGCAGAGGAGCGTATTTCAGATCCTTGATATCTGTAATGAATGATCTGTTTAACTAGAAGAATGATGCTTTGTTATTACGTTAAAATATTAATCCGGTGGCCACATTGATTATCTAGACATGGACGCGTTTGCACCAAGACAGATGGTAATTAACTGGCTTATGGATCGAATTCTAACTCCGATTTCCCTCTGCCGAGGAGGAATACAAAACTACAAAAATAGTGCAGCTGTTTCTATTTATATTAATTTGGGGGTTGGTCGCGTTATTTTAGTCGACTGAATGGATTTGATTTAAAATAAGAGCTTTAATTAGGAAAATTAAAGTTTTATTACAGTTTGTTCAAAGGAAACCGGCCAAATTTTGGCCAAATCTTAGGTGGCCTCATATCGAACAACTTTTCTACGCTAGTTGATACGACCGAACCAAACCTTCTATTTTTATGCTTTGCGCGGCCGAAGAATCCACAGACCACATTATGTTAAGTAATGCGAATGTGATGCAATTAAATTCTCCATTACTTAACTCGTTTTTGCACGTACACAGCCATGAAAAAGGATGCTCTTCTTGACAATCGTGTCTGCACTAGTCTCAGTTCTGGACGTCCGA